AACACAATCTACTTTGGAGGAGCAGGTATGGGCTGCTGGCAGGAGAGGAATCTAATTTGAGGCCTAGCAGGACAGAGGGGTCAGCTTTCCTGTCCTAATTTTAAGCCCCCAAAAATTTTAAGAAAAAATGCATTGTTCTAAACCTGTAAATAAACATTTTAATTAAAGGAAGATACAGTAAGTCATCCATCCCTCTTTTAAGAAGCAAAAAGTACCCATTTACTGGTAGTCCTTGACTTATGACTACCATTGGAACTGGAACTTCTGTTGCTATGCGACATGTCATTAAGTGAGTCGCACCGGATTTTACACTTTTTCCTGCCGTCATTAAGTGAATCTGGCTTTCTCCATTGACTTTGCTTGTCAGAAGGCACCAGGGAAGGTCGCAAAGGGTGAACAAGTGACCTCAGGATGCTATAAATACAAGCCAGTTGCCATGTGTCTGAATTTTGATCACATGATTGCAGCAGTCAAAAGTGCAAGGACCATTCGTAAGTCACTTTTTTCTGCACTGTCATAACTTTGAACAGTCATTAAACAAATGGTCGTAAGTCAAGGACTACATACCTGGATAGAATTAATGATTCTTCTACAAGTTCTGATCCTATGCATCTGGCAGCAGCCAGAACCATACAAATTAAGCACATGAAATTTTTCCGGCCCAAGGGTATCATGTCTGAGACCCTTAATTCATCTATGTTGGACTCCTGTTTAAAGCATTCTCACTGGCTCAAAGTTGACTCAGCCTTCCATCCTTCTGAGGTCGGGTAAAATGAGAACCTAGGTTGTTGGGGGCAATATGTTGACTCTGTAAACCACTTAGAGAGGGCTGTAAAAGCACTGTGAAGTGATATATTTTATTTTTTATATTTTTTTCTACTTGCATTTTTTATGTGCTTTCGAACTGCTAGGTTGGCAGAAGCTGGGACAAGTAACGGGAGCTCACCCCATTACGCGGCACTAGGGATTCGAACCGTTGAACTGCCGACCTTTTGATCGACAAGCTCAGCATCTTAGCCACTGAGCCACCACGTCCCTTTAAATTTACAACAGGCTAAAACAATCAATAATATTCCATCACTCCCTTGTGCCTTTAATTCTTATATGCAAATGAAGCAGTTTAAAGTTTAATATTAATCATCATTAGTTCATGATGATTAATATTATTATAAGATTGTGTCCTTAAACCAGAGAAGGGAAATATGGCCAGCAGATGATGGTTGATTACATCATGCTGACTCTTAGCCTTGCAATCATTGTTCGAATCTATCCTCTGGCACATTCATCTGAGACTATTTGCAGTTGTCATTTGCAAATTATTTTAAGTCAAATGATTATTAGAGCAGAGTTAAAGCAATTAATTCTGGAAAACAACCACACACACCCCATGCCATCCAAAAGATGACATTCTTATATTTTTTGCTCACAAACATTAATTGAAACGAGAACATTAATTACTCATATGAAATAAGATATTTGCACACAGTGTTAGGAAATATTCCAAATACTATATGGATGAAAGCTTTTTTCTAGTTTAGTAAACTGGTAACAAGACTTGAGGGGCAACTGTGAATTCAAAAGAGATTAGAAATGAAAAGAAAGAATTTTTTTTAATCAGTTATGTTAAACAATGAACAAGGAAATAATTCAAGATAGGTTTATGACTGTTTTGGAAGCTATAAAATCTGTTTTGGGATAAGTTTGACTACCTCATTTGAAAATGAGGAGTCTCTGAAATTGAGCATTGTGAAAATCTCCTGCATTAGATAGTCCTCGACTTACAACCACAATTGAGCCCAAAATTTCTGTTGTTGAGTGAGACATTTGTTAAGTGTGTTTTGCCCCCTTTTACCACCTTTCTTGCCACAGTTGTTAAGTGAATCACTGAAGTCGATAAGTAACATGGTTGTTAAGTGAATTGGGCTTCACCATTGATTTTGCTTGCAAAAGGTGATCACGTGACCTTGGGACACAGCAACGGTCATAAGTGTGAACCAGTTGCCAAGCATCTGAATTTTGATTGCATGATCATGGGGATGCTACAAAGTCGCAAATGTGAAAAATGGTCATGTCACTTTTTTCACTGCCATTGTTTTGGATGGTCACTAAATGAACTGTTGTAAGTTGAGGACTACCTGTACTATGTTTTCAGAGAAAGTCTGGATTCTTAAATTATTTTTTTTGATATATTGAGTTTCACCAAGGCAATATTTGAGACCATAACCTCCCTTGTATATAAGCAGCAGTGAAATCATTTAATGCCCTGTTATCACCCCAGAATAAACAAGTGACTCAGTCTTAATATTTCCACCTCGCCATCCAGAAAACAAAACATTTGGATGATAAGTTATTCATTTGCATCTTGGATCCTCACTGATTTCAGATTTAGAGGCAGACTTGGTAGCACGACTGGACATATTTTCAGCTGAAAACGGTTAAGGGAGACATTCATGTCCTCCTTCCCACCTCCGTGTGTCAGATTATATGTGATTATTCCTCATCTTGATTTGTTAATTGTGAGGCACTAAATAGACTACAACCAATGCTCTGGAAAAAAAAGACACTTCCTAACACTTTTAAAGTAAATTTCAAAAGCAACATTTCTATGCCTCGTTCAGAGCTTCTGGCGTTTACCAAGCTTTTGTTCTTGTGATTGGATATAACCAGGCAGGGTGGAATCTTTACTTCAGACCATAGATAGGAAGGGGTGGGATTACCCTCTGTTCAGCCATGCTTTCTTGGCCAGTTTTGGCTGCTGCCTGTTAGACTTATATACCGCTTCATAGTGCTTTACAGCACTCTCTGAGCGGTTTAGAGTCGACATACTGCCTCCAACAATCTGGGTCATTTTACTGACCACAAAAGAATGGAAGGCTGAGTCAATCTTGAGCCGATCAGGATTGAACTCCTGACTCTGGGCAGTTAGTTAGTCAGTTCCATCCCAAGAAGGTTTTCTGCTATGCTGTTTCCAACATCGACAGCTAATGCCCCTCTGCGTCCCCACTTTTAGGCCAGGACTTCTGAGTGATATCTTACCTACATTGTAACTTTGAGGATGAATCCCTCTGCCAGGTATAGAAGCTCCTTAATGAGTGCTCCAACTCCCTTCCAACTCTTATTCTGTTAAAATAAAAATCCCGTAGAGGATTTTGACTAAGCGAAATCAAACAAATCACATTCTGGCTTGTCAATCCATCCAACCAATAAAATTGAATTCTGGGCTTGTAAAGCAGAATGCAAATTCAGTCTAATTATGTAACTCAATTGAATGTAGAGTCATATTCTCTTGGAGCAAAAACCAACAAAGAGCTAGGGGGAATTTTAAGGACTTTATTATAACAGAAATCGCTATGGACCACAGTGTCTTTGTTATATTTTATTAGCCTATACAAAATGGACAACTACGTGAAGGTCTGACCTGCAAAGCAATAGCTATAATAATAAAATATAAACCAGCTAGTTATGTGTGTAGTTATGATTCCATTGGATCATATGATGTGGTAAACTGCAATAAGGATCCACTGAAAATCCAACAACCTTAACAAGGTTAGTGTTTATTATAAGCCATGAAATTCACACAGTCAAGGTTAAAAAAAAATCTGTATGTCACTAGGCCTCAAGGTTGTATCTGTATAAAAATGGCTAATATGAATGCAGCTTTCTTCCCCCTGAAGTCACTAATGAAACATTCATGAATATTTTTGTCCCATTGGATTTGAAACCTAGAATTTGGATCTCAGAAGATTTCTTAGGTTCCTGGTTCTCCATCTTTCATATATGAGGTTCTACCAATAGTTCCATCAAAGAACCCGAGTCTCACCAAGTTAGAAATAAGAAGCCTATTTTTTAGTTACTGTATGTTTTAAGGTCATATCAAAAGCAGTAATGTTGTTGAAAATGATGTTTACTGCTACATTTATAAGAGACAGCTAATTTGGGCTGATTTAGTGAGAGAAACATTCCTTAAACACACATCAGGGAATACATTAAGAGAGATTGTTAACTAACACAAAATATTATTTTGTTTTCTAACTTTTCTGAGAGAATTCCAATTCTCAGCTCCAGAATAGATATTGCTAATTTGCTCAGTTCTCCACCTTCAGCCAACTTGACTTTTCTTTTTTCTTTTGCCTGCTTCTCTTTTCTTTCTCATGGGGTCTTTCTGAATTGTGAAATAAATTATGTCCCATTTGTGGTTTTTCCCTGCTTGCACATCACTACAAGCAACATCTTTTTATGCTATATTCCCATGATGCTACTTTCATCTCCTTCCCAATTCATAAGTGAGACAGGCTTAAATCTCCTTGAGCTACATCAGTATTAAAGGAGTATTTCCCCACTTCTCCAGCACTGTCCAAAGGCGGACTCAAGAGATACAGGTTTTTACCCTAGGAATGGGAAGTCACAGCTAACTACAAATAGAAGGGGAAATGCCCGACACAGGATATGGGACTGCAGTGAAGTCAACCAACATCATGCTGGCATAATTTAAAGTTGGCCCAAAGATGAAGGAAGAACACCAGTTCAGCAATGGGGAAAAGTCCTTAGACCTCTTCAGTGGTACCACCAATAGGATATGCAACACTGGCTGAGTTACATTGTACCAAACAATTAGATTTAATAGTAATAAAACATTGTTCCAGGCAACTTGATATAATAGTGAAAGCCAATAAAAGCATGTGTTCTTGTAGGATCTCAGAGGGGTTATATGAGAAAGCATATATTATAAACAGGTGAGTGAGGTGTAAGAGAATCATTTCATTCTCTGATTATAATTTTCCAGTGCAATCTCTGGCCACAGATAAATGAATCCTTCCAATTCAGTTTTTTTTTTTGTTGTTTTTTTTTTTGCTGCTACTGGAAATGTTCAGAAAGCAGTTATATCCAGCTATATCCCATTATGCACATAAAGTTGAGCTGATCATCAATATTGCTGAGCACATTGTAAGCCGCCCTGAATCTTCGGAGAAGGGCGGCATATAAATCAAATTAAAAAAAAAAATTGATAATAGATTTTATTAAGAACATTTTTATTTTTTCAATAACCATTAACCCAGAACCTGAATTTGTTGTGAACTTTCCTTCTAGGCCTGTTCATGAGCCTCTTTCAAGTAGTTCTCCACAAGTTAATTGTGTTATATTTAGTTCATATTTTGGATACACCTCCAAAGAATCTGAACATCCATGAGGTTGACTGGATACATATTAATCACATACTACAAAACAATGTTGAGACTACCCTTGGATAATTTAGCAAAAGCTCCTACAAAAAAATATATACAGCAGTTATTTTATCCCAATGTGCCACAATTAATTAAAGGAAAACAAATATCTACAGCAATCCAGAAATTCCTACACAGTGCTATAAAAAATGCCTGGATCATCCATCACACAAGCCTATGCTCTCATAGCTTGGGGGTGGAGTGTCACAGACAATGATAGCTTCATCCTGTGACGCTAAACTTGGCTTGGGTGGAATGTTCCGAAACAAAACCCCGTCAGAGGAACTGCGTCTTCGGCTCCCCTGCCCTTTGTGATTTTCATCCACCACCTGATATAAGGGCAGCCTGATCTCCTTTGAAATCTGAGACTGCATGTCACTGGAGGCATTTTCAGCAGGTTGACAATTCAAAGCCTCCTCGTAAGTGGGAATACTGGTGGCCTCCCAGGTGCTGAAACAGAATCAAGACCACAAAGAAAATCAGTTGGGGTGGGTGTATTCTAAAATCCAATATTTCATTCTAAAATAAGGTTTACAAAGACAAGCATGAGCACTGTTATCTGTTCTAGAGGAGCTAGAAGCTTAGAGGGGGGGAACTATCTTCGCTTGTCCCATAAAAAAGATAGATAGATAGATAGATAGATAGATAGATAGATAGATAGACAGATAGAGACAGACAGACAGACAGATAGACAGACAGACATATTAGATAGGGAGAGGGGGAGAATATAGAGATATATTCAAATAGCTCTGAAATTGTGGTTATATATCTCTGGAGCTAAGTCATGCTGAGCATAAAGAAATTTCCTGTAGGTTTATAAGAATGAATGAATCTGCCAATTTTGCAAAATCCTAAATTCAAATCTTTTACATCTCAAGTTCTTCCTCTGCCACATATGAAAAAAATATGCAAATACCGTATTAATAAAATCTTATTGTAATGAAATTCTCATCCTCCGGCACCAGCCAAGTTCCATAAATCATAATAATCTGTCCTTATCACCAGCAGGAGAAACAAAATTGAGGGTGCATTACAAGCTGCAGTTGAAGGAGGAGTTTACACATGTTGACAACCTCAACAAATATATATATATATGGGGCTCCCATTTTTTCCTGCCCCACCCACATAACATGGTTATCCAAACAGAATGGGGAGGAAAACTAAAGTGCATTTGGCAGGATTTAGATTTTCTATGCCCAATCAAAGCCATACCCCTACATGATCACTTTCCAGGCTTTGAAGACAGAGTGAGGAAAATGTGAAAGTAAACAAAAATGTTTTCACCCTGTACCAGTGGTGAAATCACAATTTTTTTACTACTGGTTCTGTGGGCATGGTATGGCTTGGTGGGTGTGGCAGGGGAAGGATACTGCAAAATCCCCATTCCCACCCCACTCCAGGGGAAGGATACTGCAAAATCCCCATTCCCACCCCACTCTAGGGCCAGCCAGAGTTGGTATTTGCTGGCTCTCTGAACTACTCAAAATTTCTGCTACCAGTTCTCTGAACTGCTCAAAATTTCCGCTACCGGTTCTCCAGAACCTGTCAGAACCTGCTGGATTTCACCCCTGCCCTGTACCAACAGAAACCATAATGCCTTTAAACTGGGGGTGCCCCAAAACCTTTACTCACTACAGATATTATATTAGAAAACAGTGACTGAACGTGTAAGACAGTTTGAGGCTGTCGTACCCATTCAGCGTCTGAGAGCAAGGTAAGAAGCAGATCGTGCTGCAAATTTCTTCAGTGTTAGTGTAGTATTCACAAACAATGGACCTCAGCTTTTTCCACACCCAGTATCAAAACTCAAAGGTATGACCACTGATTAATCTTTACTGCATGGGCCATAAAACAGACCCATTTTTTTTCTATTGTATTTTACTAAACAACACAGTTTGTGTACAGATAAAACTTTCGCATAACCTTTGCTCATCTCATTTCCTCTTTTTCAAGGGGGAAAATAATTTAGAAGTGGAAATAACTACAAATAGGGATTGTTGAAATCATCATGAAACCAGACTAGTCAGGCAGAGACTGCTCTACCTAGACTAAAAGGAAGAAAAGGGGTGAAAATGGCTGTAACATAGCATGTAATCACTGTTTCATAATCTCTGGTATGGAGAATTAATTGGGGAAAGTAATTTTATTGTTAGGTATAAGAGTTACACTTTTAATCTCACCCTTCCCCAATCCTGGGAGAAAGGGGTGCAAGTGAATCAAATTTCTTTGTCAGAATCAAAATTCTAACAATTCAGCCATCTTGAATTTCACAATCATATTTAAAATGGGCTAATAATACTCTTATTGTGTCACTGTTCAGTTTTGCAGAAATTGATACACTGACTAAAACGAAGTGCCTCAGTATGATACCCTCCTAAAATTTGGACTATCGTTCTTATTGTGTCCAAACACTTGCTGTCCTGGCTGAATATTATGGAGTGGAAGTTTAGCACCTAGCTATCCTTGTTTTTGTCTCCAAAGCTAATCATGGTTAGGGCTGGTTAAAACGTGGATGTAAGGTTTGCAAAGAAAAAGGGCTATTGGCTAGACTAGGAATTTGAAAAACATCCCAGAAGGTAATGGCAAACTACTTCTATATTGACAGTTCCATGAAGTTACCAAAGTCAAGCTTAACTTGAATAATTTTACAACCATGCACAGCACATTTATAAATCATGAAACTGAGGTAGATTATAACGGAGACATTCTTTTGGCAACAGTGATGGCTCAACAAGCATGACCTTTGGTTGAGAAAGGCCTAATGGTCTGCAAGAATAAATGTGGTGCTGGAAAAGTCTTCAAAGGAAGACCTGTTTCAGAATATCATTTAGCTAGATGGCTTCTGACAAATTAACCTTCTATCTCTCTCTTCTCTTGTATGATGCTTCTCTTGAAGTAACACTTCCTGACAATTATTTGCTGGGCGAGTTAAAAGGCTTATGTTGATCTCTCAGGTCTGGCTACGAAGATCTTGCTAACCTGCATGTCTGCTTTTCAAGAGGTTCGACTGTGGAGTACTGAAGGTCACTGGAAAAATGGTACTGGTAGTGCCGGGAAATTATTCCAGCATTGGCTGACCAAAGGAGTCCAAACAGAAGAAGCAGCCCACCAATTCCACAACAGAAGAAGCTGATTGACCTGAGTACAGGACTGGAAGATGAAGCCCTGGTCATAAGTTCCGTTTCTCCTTGAGGCGTGACTTTGGGATCACTGCTGGGTGCAGTGACCCCCATTTCACCATCGCTCCACCAAGCAAAGCACAGCGTTCCCGTCACCAGCAGGATAGCTCCAGCGATGGTCACTCCATGACGCAAAGAAGCTATTGCCATATTAAAGACTGAGGCCTGTAGAGATTATAAAATACTTTACAAGGATAGGTCCTGGTGTCAACACTCAGACTGGAAAAGAAGCAAGAAAATGAATGGTGAGTAGATACAAGCAGACCATAAGACAAACAAAACAAAAGCACAAACTTTAGACTCAAAGAGAATCAATTAAGATTTATTCTTTGCCTTTTAAAATAGCCCAAAGCTTTCTTAATGGAAGAAAAAAAATCAAATGCCATTTTGTGGCTATTTTCAATAAAAGTTAAAACTTATCCTGGGAGGCAAATTTACAGCTTTTGCTTTTGAGATCAGTCAAATGGATTTATAAATCCCGCTACAATTTACAGCAAATTCATTTTATATGCACTTTTTACAGGGAAATTAGATGAAGTTACAGAATTTTAAGAAATCAATAAAGAAGATCCCTACTGTCTTACATATCTACCTATATTTTGATCCAAACAACACTAGGCAATCCTATTTTTACAGGACTTCATCACAGGTTCATTTTAAACCTTTCGTTCAACTTTGCCTACTCAGAGTGAAATACCGAGATGGTATTCAGTTCAGCTGTGAGCTCAGCTAAAATCTGACATTCATCTTAATGTGTATTCTCTTGCCATATGATTTTTGTATTCAGACGAAAAGATTAACACAAAAATCCCTTTTGTAGTAAAAAGAAAAAAGAAAAAAAAAGAGAAAAGGATATAAAGGGTAATCTGTGCATTCTAAGCAATTCTGGAGAAGATTCAGATTTGAGAAGCCAATGTCATATAATCACACATAACAAAGGTTATGTTATACTTTTTTGATGCATATTTTCATTATCTCATATACACAACACGTCAATTCCTAACAAATCTCAAATTATACCATGACCAAGGAGAGGAGCTAACATTTGTTTTCTTCTATGAGATAAAGTAAATGGAATCTTGTTCGGATTAATATTTTTCTTATCAAGCACCTGTTGATATTTTTTGTGGTACACGGATGGCATAGTTTTCATTACATATGCTACCTGACGTACAACCATTAATGTGCAATTATATGTTAGTAGATAAAACCCCTATTATCTTGTGCTTTGGTAGCTTTTGGGTGTGGGAGCTCCTATTTTATGGTTGTTCTCCTTTTTCTATGTTTGGTTTCAGTTAGTATTGATGGGATCACGCCCATGGCCCCTCATTTGTGCAATGACTCAGAGCTCTACCTTCACCTTGTTCCTACTGAGCATCTCTACTTTAATTTCCTGCAAATGCTCTACTGTCACTCTAGTTTCTTTCTATTACTTCCATTTCTCCAATCCATTCTTCCCAAATTCAACTCTTGACACTACCAAGAAATTGATTTATGAATCTCTCACTGCATAGTTTACTAATCAACTCATTCTTTCACAACAAGCAACACTCTCTTATGCTTTCAGATTTATATATATTCCTTTGCCAGGTAACTGTGTGAAAAGTCTTGTGAGATCCAATTTGGGTCAGTCACAGGAACCAGAGGTTTACTGAATAAATCTCTGGTCCCAGTGACCGACCCAGATTGGAACTTGCAACATTATCCTGGGACATGCATATTTGCCTTCATTTGTGAAAACACAGGCTTCGACAGTCTACAGAATTTAGAAGCTTGAATTATCCAGGATTTTTAAACTCTGAAAAACTTTTATAAGGCTGGAATTAGCACTTTTGTCCTCATTTCTACACTCATTTACAGAGACGATACAAGGCATAATTTCCAAAGGTCAAAGAGGGCTTAATCAACCCCTATCTACCAACGAGTTTCCATTCTTGGAATGAACTGCCCCCATCCAATGACCAATAATTTGCAGATTGAGGAAGATTTTTTATTTTGCACATCCTGTATTTACAGCTGCTAGCACAGTAGCTAAATGTTGGAATGAATTCTCTCAAGATGCACCCCTACATCTATGTGCAATGTGAGCACTGTAATTATATGGGGGAGCTACTAACAGTGCAAAAAGGCTTGGTGTGAATCAGATGTTAATCATCATACATGTGGTTTCAAGTGAAATAAAAGGGCAAAATGAAATAAAGAAACATAGTGTTTCAAAAACTACCTCATTTAGCTGTTCATGTTAGCAAGATATAAAAATTCCATTAATGGTCCCATATATATATGATATATATATTAAGTCATGGTTCTACTTGGATATAGCATGAAAAACAGAAGGGAAGAGAAAGAAATAAATGTATTTATTCGGTTAGACATAATCTTTTACCATAAATAGAGGTAGGTGTTTATTTATTGTCAAAACTTAGTAAAGAGAATGGCTGTGAAAATCTCTCCACTCTGTATTCACAGACAAATGCAAAAAGTGTAGATCACTAGCTTTATGGTGCGGAATTAGGAAGCCATGCATTCCAATAATTCTGCATAAACTGAGCAGTGCACAGTAAACGTATAAGTCAGGAACAAGATTCAACTCCTATATGTTAGTCCCAAAGTTCAATTCCTGGACCTGTCCTTACTACCTTTTTAAGTTCAAAGGAGGCTTCACTTATTGACCACGCGTTCAGCAATTGTTTAAAGTTGTGAAAGCATGTTACTTATGACCAGTCCTCAAAAGTTCTGGCTTTGCAATTGACTTGCACTTCCAATGGATACAGTGGAATCACAATTGCATTATTGTCGTTTACTACTTTTCCTGCTGGCTTGTCACAAGCAAAGTCAATGGGGAAGCCAGCAGGAAACTCCAAAGCCGTTCTGGTAAGTCGCTCATTCCTTCCTGTGCTCGCACCCCATCACACCCTCCATCCCCAGGTCTTCCTGCACTTGTGCACCATCTGCTCCCAAGGACCCCACCCCCACCCCAGTGGTATCCTTCTGCTCCTTACCTGGGACTCCCGTTGCTTTCGACTTGACAACCCATGCATGTTGTGGCTAATGGGGGTGCCAGGATTGTTTTTGCTAAGAAACACAGTCAAGTGATATTGCATTTTACTACTGCATCACTTAGTGATGACAATCACTGATCCCAATTGCCATCATAACCTGAGGACTATAATGGATTTTCGGATACTTTTTTCTCAACCTTAAAACTTTCTGCCACCTGTTTATCAAATGTCTCTTTCTGGCTTGAGAATCAGGGGATCTCATTTCACCTGCTTCTAAAATACATTTTCTAAAACAACTTTCCTGTTGCTGTGTTGGTATTGTATTTCCCAGAATGACAAAAATCCATGATGATGCAGAGGGATTGAAATCTAGAAAACTGACATTCATTAAATCTATGACAAGCAAAATTGCATTTCATTTGAATTGGGCTATGGGTAACTGAATTATGAGGCACTGAAAGAAATCTTGCATGATCTTATCCTTATCTAATGAAAAGATATTGTAAAATCAGGTTTTATTAATACAGTGACATTAGGTTTATTAAAGCTACAGACAGAATGATGATGGAAGTTAATGAATCCAGTATATTGTTTCAGTTCTAGATATGAATCTCTAAACAGTGAATCTCTAGTCAAGGAAAATGAAGCTGCTATAGAGCTTGTCCTCTGCTGAAGGACAAAATATATACCCTTTAGCCAAAAATAAATAAATAAATTAATCAAAGCATTTATTAGTCAATTATATTTGGGGGGGGAACAGAGTTCATCCCATCCTCATTAAAGTCTTTTCCTCTCTATTTACTTTAGTTCCCAGAAAATCTTGGTGGCACAGATTCTTACATCTATTAAATCCATTTGGATCTCTAAAGTTGGAGTTATGCTTGGTGTTATGTTCAACTTAGATGGAAAAGAGGAATAACAAGAGCTTTTAGCTTTGACATAGGTCATCTTGTCAGTTTCTCCTCAAGATATTTGGAAAGCATTTGTGACCCAATGGTTAGGAACTGTACAAGTGGTACTTTGAGGAAAAGAAGCATTATGGCCAAAGCTACATGACCCCTTCATGTAAGAATTCGCTCTATTGAAACAATTTGTACTGATTTTATAGGAATATCATGTTTATAACGTGATGTAAGAATTCGCTCTATTGAAACAATTCGTACTGATTTTATAGGAATGTCATGTTGTAGTTCTGTCAACTCCTTCTAAAGTCTTTAGAAGGATTTGCATTATACAGGATTGCATTAAGCCTGACTACCACATCTGAACAGTACCAATTAATTAATGTTATTGAAATAGTCTGTTTTCGGTAAATTGGATTATGGGATCAGGGTCCTTGCATCTCAAAGCTTTCATAAAGTATCTCTCAACATCTTGGATAATCCAGACCAAACTTTCAAAGCAGTGTTGTCACTGCTTCCTCTTCAGCCCTTCTAACCAACTACAAAGAGGGAACATTCACAGATTAAGGCAGGATACATTCCTATTTTATCATTTAAAGACAAGAGACAATTCTAGATCAGGAACAGGTTACCATTTTGCATGGGAGATGTTTTAAAAAATAAGGGGGAAGTAATTAGTGTAATTGTAATTGTAAAAGATGGTGGCAATATTTTTCAGTCAAATTTTTCTGAAGTGGCATAATGCAAAATAAGTTTGTTAAGCTTCAGTTGGATCAATTTTGCATTTTGAGGCCAAAGACAAACCCTTATAAAATCAAACTGCTCCAAATGATAAATTTTGTAGCCAAATTTTGGTGGGACAAAGTGGGAATGATCTAGGAGCCACAAAATAGCCTCTAGATTGTCTGTTGCTGCAGTCCAGTCTTCCCCAATTTGGTGCCTCCAGACAAAGGGATCAAAAATTCAAATAATCTTAAAATAGCAGGGCTAATGGTCAAAGATAATGAGAGGGAAAGTTTTATAATATCTGACGAAACCTGAATGGGGAAAAGCTCCCAATCACAGGCTTGCCAATTGTCCTTTATTTCTATAGAAGACAATGTAAATTGTTTTGTTTTTTTTTAAAGTTCCACCATTGTCTCACAAAGAATACTAGTTAGTGGTTCCTAAGAGGGCCATTTCACACAAACTTTCTCAAAACAAGACCTGCTATGCTCATTGTCATTTAGGAAGCATAAACAAAATAGAATCCTAAAACCTTGCAATGTGAAGTCTCTAATTCAAACTTAAACTCACTAGGCAGATAAGAGACTAAGCAGGCAATGTTGGGCTGTACTAGGAAAAAGTCTGAATTGGCTAAAAGCATTTTCTTCTTCGTTTATATCTTTGCAATGTCCCAAACTCTGATGATAAAAAGTTAGTTTGGCCTTCACATAAGGGCAAGGCCTTAGATGAAGTAAAGAGGAGTTTGTCCTTGTGAATGGAAGAGCCAGAGATAATAAACCAAAGTGTAGCTGAAAGTGGAGAGTTTCTTTGCAGTTCAGCCAAGACCAGTTTGCTATTATTATTATTTTTTTTTGCCATGTGAAACAACCCAGCAAATATTCTCCAGTTCAACGTTCCAGGATGATTTTTGTGGGGGAGGTTAATAGCTGAACACATGTTCTGTCGCTTACAAAATAATAAGAGAGTGACAGTTTTATAGGAGGAAAGAAAGAAAAAAAAAAGTATTTTTCCCTCCCTGACAAAAAAAAAAAAAAAAAAAAGCTGCAACAGCAACATTTCCAACATCCCAGCCCACGCAGCTAGGAAAGGAGGAGACACAGATACAGTGGGTCCCCTCACTGAGAATTGCTATGGTAAATTCTGTGCAAGTCTTCTCGGGATTAAAATTTCTAAGCATCAGCCACAGTCCAATGTACTTAGATTACGTTTTAACTATCCCAACGGGCCTTCTCATCATAAAGAGCCTTTTGAAATATATTTAACAAATTAAATCTTTAAATGGGACCTGCTGGAAATAAAGCAAATTTGTTAAGGGTGAGACAATCCTAAAGACAAAATCTGCTTTTGGAAGTTGGATACAGTTGGATGCATAAAATAAAGTGATTGGTCCTTCACTTTTTTCTTTACAGCAAAATTAACGTTCTAACCCTAAAGTTGGGAAGATTAAAGACGATTCCCAGTTCAACACATGAGCTTTAAATAATGTTGGATGTACGCATTTTACTAGATGGTTGGTTGGCTGATTGGTTAACTTGTACACGACCGGCTTCTGTGAAATCTGAGTTCTTTGCAACAAAAAAAGGCAACGTAATCAAAGCAACGAAATAATACCTAATTACCATAATGCTGCCCCTACTCATTCCTAAAAGGTTTGGAAGAACTCTGTCCTCCAGGCTTTCTCCTAATATTTAAAGCATGTGCAATCCAAACTTTTTCAGGTAAGCTATTCTATAAGAAGAAACCACTCAGAGAAACCCTACCTCTGGGCCAACACACCTTCCCTTCACAACTGTGGGACATCTTCAGCTTTTCTATTTGCGGCACTGCTTTTATAGTCAACCTTAAGTTCCCTGAATTGCATTTGGAAGCCTACTGGAAGACAATCTAGCACCTGCAACACCCATGTGCTGTGGCTCTTACCTGTCAGCAGGTTAGATAGATAGATAGTTAGCCTTCTAATGGTCTTCAAAGGAAACACTGCATATAATTCATTATTAGTGCAGTCCATTTAGATGGGGATGGGGGTGTGAGTCATTTTTGGACCTCCAGCTAGGCATCCAATAGCCATGAGTCCAGAAAAACTCCTAAGCTGCAGATCTGTTGTTATTGTACATTGAATTTGATAATACGTGCTCAAGAATAAGCCCTGTTGAATATAATAGGGTCATTTGATTACACAATACAGTTACATTGTTGAAAACAGCAATTTTAAAATTAATCAGTAAGCTTAAACTCTGTCAGTAGATTGCCTTGAAATGTGTATATGTGTGTGTGTACATGTGCATTCAAGTCATTTTTGACTCCTGGCAACCATCTGGACAAATCCACGCAATTTTCTTAGCAACATTCTCAGAAGTGGATTGCCACTGCCTTTTTCCTAGGGCAGAGAAAAGAGTGGCCCAAAGTGGCTTTATTCTTTAGACTCACAATTTCCTGGTTTCTAGCCTGGTATCTTAAACCAGGGGTCTCCAACCTTGGCAACTTTAAGACTTGTGGACTTCAACTCCCAGAATTCCTCAGCCAGCTTTGAGGAATTCTGGGAGTTGAAGTCCACAAGTCTTAAAGGTTGGAGACCCCTGTCTTAAATCATTACAAC